ATGTTCCTGCCTGGCCCTACCACTGTTTGTCCTCCTGCAACGGGACGGAGCACCTCCCCCGGCAGGCCCCCTTCCCATCCCCCCTTTGGGTGGCCAGGAGGTTTAGCCACAGCTTTTCTCCCTGGGAATGAAGGCTCATCCGGAAGTCTCCCCTGGAGGAGCCCACTCGACCGAGAGGCTGGAGCCAAACGGAGGCTGCGTGGTCCTACCCAAAACAGGCCGGAAAACAGGCTGAATTCAGAAGTGCTGCAAAGCCCGGGACCTGCACCCGAACTCGGCCACAGTGGACAATCCATTTGGGTGCCACACGCTGCATCGTTGAATACCAAAAATACTCTAGGTAGAAAAGGACAGTCCAGGCAGCAAGCCGGAGGCCGGCTGAGTCGCAGGGAGGGGGCTGGCCCACCGCAGCCCCTCACTGGTGCATGTGAGTGCGGTCGTCGGGGCGCTTGATGTGGATCCGGCGGACCCTCTCGATGCGCTCGCGCTCCTCGTCCTCCTCCAGGTGGTGGGAGCGCCCGGCCGCCCCCCCGGTGGCCTCCAGCAGCGCATTGTCGGGACCGCGGCCATCCTGAGCTTCGTAGAGCAGGATGTTCAAGGTTTCCTCGTAGATTCGGGCTTCTGGGAATTCAACCTGGAGATGCCAAAGGGGGTGGGGGGGTTAGACATACCCCCTGCACGATCTTTTCTGAGCGGGGTGGGGGGTGCAGAGGGAGCCAGCCACTCACTTTGGTCTGCTTCTTCTCGGTGGCGTACACAATCGAGGTGCAGCAGACTTCCGCGATCTTGCGTCCCTGGCCGTAAAACGACCAGCAGCAAATCTCGTCTCCCAGCACGTCTTTGATGAAAAGGACCCTCCCGTTGAAGCGCAGGGAGAGTTTGTCGAACAGCTCAATGTTCTTCAGCATGTTGTCGTCCGAATTGCTGGTGGGGGGCAAGGGACCCAGAAGGGAGAGATGGGGCAGGGCTATTAATTAGCCAGTCCCTCCCCTCCTTTCCGCCTAACAGGGTAACTGCCCCCTTCGCCCCCTCTCTAAACTCTCCTCTCCTTGGTACTGAAAATACTTTACCTGGTGTAGGAATATTTGTTATTGCTTCGGTTGTACAGCAATTTAACTGCCGGCTGCAAAAACACAGAAAGCAGATAGCGGCCTTAGTTCCATGGGTCACCACTAGGTGTTGAAGGCAAGCTGGTCCCCTACAGGGGATGGTTGGAACTGCACAGGTAAACATCTGGAGACCAGCTGTCCTCCCCCCCTCCCAGAGTTGGCCACTGTGAAGATCTGGTGGAAGGGGAGAAGCCCTGGGGGGGAGGAGAGGATGACCATTCCTCTCCCAGCTCCAAGGGGAGACAGAGCCACTAAGAGTAAGTGGAACATTCCCGCCCCCCAAAGCTTCAGAATCCCCCTTTAATGTGAGGTCTTTTACCTTGTTGGACGTGGCTATGAGTTTCTGCTCTTCCTTGGAGGACGTGATGATGGGCACTTTGCAAAAAGGCTCATAGACATCTTTGTTCTGTGAAAAGAAAAGGACGGATTGGAAGGGAAGCAAAAGATCAGGCAGAAGCCGACCCTTCCTTACAGTGGATAAGTCCTCCCTTCTCTGGCCAAGCTCAGGAATCTTGACAGACTCTGCGGCTTGCAAAGGTTTTCTTTTAGAATAGTATTTTCCAACCTTAGCAACTTTAAGATGGGTAGACTTCAATGTCTTCAACGGAATTGAAGTCCACCTGTCTGAAAGTTGCTAAGGTTGGGAGACAGTGCCTTAGAAAGCACCAATAGCAATACAGAAGGGAGGTTTTATTTTTATTTTATTTACTTTTATTAGTCACATTTCTATGCCGCCCACTCTCCGAGGACTCTGGGCGGCTTACACCAAAGACAGTATACTAAATAGCACATTGCCCCCAACAATCTGGGTCCTCATTTTACCCACCTCAGAAGGATGGAAGGCTGAGTCAACCTTGAGCCGGTGAGATTTGATCCTCTGATCTGCTGAACTAGCAGTCAGCTGAAGCAGCTGCAGTACTGCACTCTAACCACTGCGCCACCTCGGCTCAGGTGGCTGCAGTTCCTCCTTTTGCCTCCCTCCACCCCTTCCAGGTGGGAACCTCATCCACTCCCCATCAGAGAGGTCCATGGGGGGCAGCAAAGTGGGGAAAGGCCGGCTCCAGAGCACCCACAGGAGATTTACCTGAAGGGCAGCCTGGCACTCATCCACCAAGCCTTGCACCAGGTAGTACTTGGCCTCGGCCAGCAGCTCCTCAATCTCTCGCCGGCTCTCCGGGAGGGGCACGGCGCCATCGCGCAGGTAGTTTAAAATGGTTCCAAAATGCTTGCCACACCTGTCTATCAAAATCCAGCCTAGGAAGAGACAGAAAACGCAGCCATGATCGGAAGGAATGCAGAGTCCGAGCTAACCCTAATCCTACCCCTGGCTTGTTTAACTCTGAGCAGTTCGGCTTCGTCATGCGGCCGGCAGCCTCAAAAACAGCCAGCTCGGAAGAGGCCAGCATCTCACACAAGGGCGCCAGTTTCCATGAGCTCAACTTCTTTGTGGGCAGAAACACAAGAATGTTAAGGGAGGGGAGACGATAAAAAATGCGTAAGGACATTGACAAATAAGGGCAATGCTGGCTGAAGAATGCAAGGGCAGTCTTAAATTAAGGGACTTAAACAGCTAAAATCGGATTAAGCTCTCAATTCTGCAAGCTGTGAATTTCATTCCAATGGAATCAGAAGTCTTTTTTTTTTTTTTTTGGAGTCAAACTGTAGTAACCTTTTGACATTTGAACCTGTTCATTCTTCTTAGTTTAAAATCCTCAAACGCGAACGGTTTAAAAATCTGTTGAATTTTGAGATTTTCTTGTCCCAGTTTCCTTCATCAATTTTCAAATGATCATAACAATTCAAACAGTTCCCTTGAGATTGTGCAAAGGTATCGTCCACAGGTGTGCTGCTTAATTCCCTACTTTGCTTTTATGGCAAAGTAAAGCTTCAAACACCCGTCTCCTCTCCTTTCTCACTGCTGCCAGTGAGTGGGAAGCCCCCCCCTTTCCTCCTGCTGTGCCACTCAAAAACAGACTCTACTCTGCAAAGGCAAAAAGCTGCTTTTTCTCCCAACGGAGTCTCAAAAATCACACTGATTGTGCAATCGTTGGATATGAGATGGGCAGCAAATAAATTTCATAATAAATAAATTCAGATCACTCATTGGAAGCCCTTCTGGCCGTTTGTGTCTAGGAGGAACTGCAGCAGGAGTTTAATCACAAGAACGGGGCAGGAAAGCCCACCCTGCGAACGGCTTCTCGTCAAACAACGACCGGTCAGCCCACGAAGCCAATGGCAGCGCCTGTCTCATGGGGTCTGCTTGCAGGCTTCTGCCGCCTCCTGGGGAAGTCAAGGGGGCAGAGAAGCGTGACCTCCGAGGAGCAACCCGAGGCTCAGAGCGATTCCGGAAGCTGGCAGGCCGTTCTGGAGGGTGACCAGAAGCCCACTTGACCCCAAAGCCCCCCCTCCCTTGCAGAGCCGACCCCGGCCCCCGTTTCTTTTACCTTCGCTGTCCGTGAGGACCTCCATCCGGCCACTGAACATGGCCTTCAGCATGGTGTCCTGCTTGGTCAGCGTCTGCATGGTGGTGTAGTACAAGGCCCCGCCGATGTTCAGCTTCACATACTTGGAGCTGGGACTGCCGCTTTTGAAGGAGGTGGTGCGGGTGGTGGCTGCTGGCACGGCGGTGCTCACCACTGTCTCTCCGGACATCTCTTCCTGGAAGAGCAGAGAGCCTCAGGGAGAGCCCAGCACCTTCCCAGGGGCAGGAGGGGACCGGCCCAGGGGCTCAGGGTGGCCGCGTGGGGGCGGGGGCGGGGGGGTCCAGAGTGAGAGGCAAGGGCCTGTTTTACACCTTCTCCAGGAGCAGAGCAGCTTCTCTGGAAAGAGCCCCGGGCCCTTCAGAGGGCAGGAGGGGAAAAGGCCCCCCGGGCTCTCCCCAGGGGGCGACTTTCAGCCCAGGCGCTCTGGGAGGTCAAGCCCACCAGCCTTCAGGTTGCCCACTGGGAGAGCCCAGCCTCAGAGGGAGGGGGGAGGGGGCAGAGGGCAACTGGCCCTCCCCGCCTGAGACCCTCCCAGGCTCCCCTCGGACCTCCCTCCCCCCCCCCCTGCAAGTAAGGAGGAAGGCCCTTCACTTCCCCCCCTCCTCCTCCTCTCCCAGCACCGGCCCCGCTTCCTGGCTTCCTGGCTGGGCCTTGGGGTCTCTCGGCCGGCCGTTAAGCGAGTCGAGCTCCCCTCCGGCCGCAGAGGCGAAGCCCCCGTTTCCTGGCCTGCCATTCATTCCTCCATTCCGCCCGCCTTCCCGGCGCTCTGGGCGGAGGGGCCTCTCGGGGTCGCCCCCGGGCCGGAGATCCGGAGGGAGGCCGGGCCGAGCAGGGCAGAGGGCGGGGGGTCCAGGCTGGGCGGGCGGGCGGGAGGAGGAAGCGGCTGGGCGAGGCGGCCTCCGCGGAGGAAAACCCCGGAAAAAGCGAGCGACTCCCGCCCTGCCCGCCCCTTCCCCGCGGGGACCGACTGGATGCCCTCCGGGAGCCCCCTCGGTGCTTCGCCCAGCCTTCCCTGGACACGATCCTCCCCCCCCCACCAAAGTCCTCCCCCCCCCCGGGAGCCCACCCGCCAAGATTGGCCCGCCTTCCCCGCCGGGAGGGGAGACCCCCGAAAGGGAGGGGAAGGGGAGACGGGGATTCCCCCCCCCCGCCGGCGCCCCCTCCTCACCATGAACAGCCCGCGCGAGGCTCCCTCCTCCCCTCGGCCGGACGGTCCTCCTGGGCGGGGCAAGGAGCGGATGACGCAGAGCGCGATGGGCGGGGCCTCTCCCCGCCCCGCCTCTCCTCCGCAGGTCGGAACTCGGTCTCGCGGGGCGCGTTTCCGGGCGGGCCGCGGCCTTCGGCGGTGCTTCCGCTGCAACGGCCGGAAGTGGTCCTGTCGGCGTGGCTCTATGGTCCTCGGAGTTCCGCGGGCGCTCGGCGGGGGGAGGCCGAGGGATGGGGGGGCGCGCCGTCGAGGGCCTCGACCCGTAGCAGTCCCGCAGCCCGGCCGGAGCCCCCTCGCCCTTCGCAGGCGTCGCCGCCAACACGCCCCCTGCCAGGTAGGACAGGCGGCGCTCCTCTCGCGCGGGAGCTCCCTCTCCTGCCTCGGCGCCCCCGAAGGGACCCGGCTCGGGCCTGTCCCCCGGCGGACCCAGCAGAAGGGCTTCCGGGGACCCCCAGGAGACCCCTCCCCAACTGGGCTGGCGGGGGAGGGGAGAGAGTGGCGTGGAGAGCTGCCCTTCCAGAGCCCCCCCCCAGACTCCCTTGCTCTGTAGGTCAATCAGGACCCTCTTCTATCCCCTTCCTTCCTTCCTTTCTCTCCCTCCCTCCTCCTCTTTCCCCTTCCTTCCTTCCTTCCTTCCTTCCTTCCAGCCTCTCCAACTGATGCGCCCATCGAGAAGCAGCAGCGTTTGGAAGCAGCCAAGAAATGTGATGAGAAGCTGCCTGGCATGAACTTGTTGCTCTCTCCAACAGCCAGAAGAAGCTGCAGTTTGGAGCGAGCGTGAACCATGTTTGTCTACGGGTGACCTCCAGGCTCTTCTGCAAAACACACCCGCCTGGGTGAGCCCCTCACCAGAGCCGCCTGCCTTTCCGCCGGGGGACAGTCCGAGCAGTCTTCCCTGGACCCGCATGCAAAGGTTTTGGTGCTCCTGCTTCAGGTCTTCCCTTCCTTGTCTTTTGTTTGCAGAGGCCAAAATGTTCAGCGCAGCCCAATCATCCAAGGCCGAGTTCCTGGACAAGGCCCGGCAGGCCCGGGAGGAGCGCCGGGAGCAGAAGGAACGTGAGCAGGCTGCGGTGCGGATCCAGGCCCTCGTCCGAAGGTTTCTGTGCCGCTGTCGGCTGCAGCGGAAAATCAGGTGTGTATAGCTATGGATACAATGAAACTTTACCTGTGGCAGGTACCTGGGCATATGGAAAAGTTGTCTGTTGCCATCTGAGAAATCCTCCGGTCTCAGAACAAGAGGCCTGGGAGGTAATCTGAGTCAAGGTACGGAGCCCCAGCAGCTTGCTGGGTTTCCGTATCCAGACTCAACGCCTTGCCTGCTGCACTAGAGGCACCTGTTGCTGGGACTTCCTTGTTTCTTCTCCTCTTTGGCCCAGGAGCGAAGTGGATAACTTCTTTCACACCAGCGGTCCTGCCAAGAAGACAGCCCTTTTGCTTTTTAAAATCTCCCGAAAGCTGCTCTTTATTATCAGACTCCCTCAGGACAAAGAGGTACAGCCCCTCTGGCTCTTTTGCAGACCTGTCTACTCAGTATTGGTGGGGAGGGGGCATCTCTAGGGGGTGGGTCCCTTGGTCTCCCAGTTCTGGGATGGAGGAATCCCTCGTGGTAGCCCTTGGACAACAAGCAAAGAAAGGAAGCAACGTCAGAAGCTTTCCATAGTTTTAAATAGCCATTTAAATTTAAATGGCTATTTAAATTTAAAAATATAAATTTAAATTTATATTTAAATTTAGTTCTGGGGAATCGGAAGTAAAGGTGGATTCTGGCAGTTTGGTAAAGGCTGATCTCATCTTACCTTGAGTCTGTTTTTTGCTCTCTGTAGAGATTTGAAAAGCTGTGCCGCTGCATCCTTAGCAGCATGGAGGCGGAAAACGATCCTAAGGTAAGCGGGTTCCCTTTTCACGAGAGGAGGGGGCATCAGTGTATTTGGCTATATATTTTGCCAGAACCAAAAGAGAAGCAAGGAACGCTTTCCATGGCAAAATCACTGCTACAGCTTTTCCTGGGGCTATTTGTGGCTGTTTGGAGAAATTTCTTTGTCTCAGTGGCTTCACAAGAGGGAAAGAAAGTTCCTCTGAATTGCAGGATGGCGGCATTTTGTCCTTTTACCTCTTAATCCAGTGAACGGAGGGGGACTTTCCCCCACAGGGCCAGGTTACTTTTGTGGCCCTTTCGTTTTGCAGGTGTGGTACGTATCCCTTGCACTCTCCAAGGAGCTGACTCTCTTATGGATCCAGCAAGTGAAGGATGTGCTGTGGATTTGCTGTGAATTTCTGAAGCTGCTCAAGGTACAGACAGGTCCAGTTTCTGTGGCGCAGATTTTTTAGGGGTATTTCCCCCCCCCCCCCCCCCTCTTAGCTTTGTAGCATGTTTTCTTTTCAACTTTCTGGGGGTTCATTTTTCTAGCCAGACATCTTGCAAGATTCAAAACTGGTAAATTTGCACCTCACAATGCTGGTGACTTTTACGGACACCTCTACCTGGAAAATCCTGCAGGGAAAAGGTACGTTTGCAGGATTCTGCCTCTAGATACTGCTTTGTTTGCCCAAAAAAGTGCCACTTGTTTCTTCTTTTTTATTAGCTTTGTCATATTGGCTTGCCAAGGGTGATTTGACCCGACTGCAGAGAGTGGCTGTTTGGCATCTTTTTCTTATATAAATTATGTAGCATTTGAGCCACCAGTCTCTTCTCTTGAGAGTGAGGGTTAAGCTAAGACCTTTTTGCTTGTGTTGGGAATTTTCAACTTGACGGCTTATTTTATGTCCTTGTTTTTAACCTTTGCTGATTGAATTTTTTAAAAATATGTTTTAAAAAATATTTAGCCTAATGATGTCTCTTAATCTGTTCATCAAAGTATAAATCTTAGAGGCTGGGGCGGGGGGAATTCAAGTAGACCAGACCTCTCAATTGGTTCTAGTTGCTGAAACAAACCCCCTCCCTGCCCTCCCCCAGCTTTGGGGAGCACTGAATGGGAATGAGGTGCCTGGCCACGAAGGGAAGCGTTGCAGCTGAAACCTTCTCTCTGGATCCTTTTGCAGGAGAAGCCCTGCGCCATGCTATGAATCACATCTGTGCAAATATCATGGGCCACCTCAACCAGAAGGGGTTCTACTCGGTGCTTCAGGTTTGTTGGGGTCTGGTTGCCATTGCTGTAAATTTCTCTGTGTGAATCTCCTTGCTGGAAAAAGAACGGAAAGAGCTTTATGGGGATTTTTTCCATCTGCTCATCTCTGTTTCGTGGCACCCAGTTGTGATTTCTTCATTTAGGACAAGGGTCTCCAACCTTGGCAACTTTAAGCCTTGTGGACTTCAAGTCCCAGACACTGGGAATTCTGGGAGTTAAAGTCCACAAGTCTTAAAGTTGCGAAATGGAGACCCCTACTCTTGACCCTTAAATGCAATTTCAACTCTTTTTTTTTTTCTCCAGATTTTGCTGACAAACGGCTTGGCAAGGTCTCAACCTTCCTTCTCCAAAGGCACCTTAACAGCAGCTTTTTCTCTTGCCCTGCGGTAAGACAAACAGCTGAAGCTGCGACTCAGTCCGGGTCAGGAACCCTTTAAGTGGTAGCGCTCTGAGCTTCTTAAAACCCTTGCGATGTTTTTCTCTCCCTCAGCCCGGTGGTTGCGGCTCAGTTTTCCGACAATCTCTTGCGATCCTTCTTGATCCACATCATGTCCGTGCCAGCCATCATGAGCCATCTTGCAACACTTACCCCGGAGGTAGGCAATTCCTGTCCAGGCGAGAAGAAAAGAGGAGGTGACTGGTTTGAAACCTCCTTTTTCTAGGATTCCAGAATGCGCCTGGTTGTCCTGCATCCTCTCTAGCAGGGTTTGTCAACCTTGGCAACTCTAAGACATGTATGTGGACTTCAACTCCCAAACTTCCCAGCCAGCAGAGAGCTTGGGAGTTGAAATCCACAATCTTGGAGTCGCCAAGGCTGAGAAGCCCTGCTTCGCAGAGTTGTTCAGGCCGTCTGGATCGTCCTCGATATCCCTATAAATCAGAGTTGGGGCTTTTCAGGAGGCGTGAAAAGGAGTGAGCTGCTTGCATGCTGCTGTACAGAAAAGCCGGCAGGAAATCTTAAGGACATGTTTGTTTCCCTTTCTTGGCCAGAGCCAATCAAACAGAGTAAACTTTGAAAGGCCTGGGGAGCTAAGCTTGCTCCATCAATGTCTGCTTTCCTTTCAGCGCCTGGCAGTGATGGAGTCTCAGGATCTCCTGCGCAAGTTCCTGCTGTTTTTGAGCCGGGAAGAACAATGCAGAGATGTCTGCGTGTGTCTGGAAGGAAGCCACACGCTCTGCCTTCTGGGTAAGATCCCCAGATGGCATGATGCCAGAGTTTGCACTCCGCCTGCAGAGGAAGGCAGAGGGGCTCTCTAGGAATTAGGGAGACCAAGTTGCCCTCCAAAGAGAGTTTTCTCCCTCCTCCTAAAGTCCAGGCAGGATCCGGCCACAAGTGTCCCTTTCACAGCCACATTTGTGATCTTCTGCGCAGACTCTGTCCCTGCCCTTGGGTTCAAACCGACGCAAGACTTCTCCCAGCCCAGTTGTTGCATGCAGGGGGCAGGCTTTGGGGGCCGGGGTGGGGATTGGGGCAGAGTTCCCCCCCTTGCCCCAGGGCTGATTTGAAGGCTGTGGCGGCTGCTGTTTCCCAGGCAACCTCATCTACTTGGGTTCGCTGAATGAGAAGGTGCTGCAGGAGGAGACGAGCCCCTTTGTCAGCGTCCTGACCCACATGCTCTGCTACTGCCAGAAGTACGTCTCGCAGAAGAAGTCCAACCTCACCCACTGGCACCCGGTCCTTGGCTGGTTCTCCCAGACGGTGGATTATGGGTAAGCATCACTAATGAGACCTGGCGGGGGGTGCCAGGCCTTGAAAATGCAAACGTCTTTGAAATACGTTCACCAGAGCATGCTGCCTTGGGGTCCCCCCCTTCTTTTTCTAACTTTGGGACCCGCTGGAGGTGCTGGGTTTGCCCCTCTCGGTTCCTGGCCACAGCTGCTCCTTCCTATCCTCTTCCTCCCCTCTCTTCCCCCCAGCTTGAACGAGTCAATGCCGTTGCTCACCAAGCAGCTTCAGCACCTCTGGGGGGCCCACATGATCCGCATCCTCTTCAGCGACGTGCTCAGCAAAAAACTCCTGGAGAGCCAAGATGCTGCTCGCCAGCTCCCACCAGCCCCCTCCCCGCAGAACAGCCTGCCCGTGAAGAGTGAGTAGCCATGAGTAGCATCCCCTGGGGGTCCCTGTGTGGCTCCGTGGTCAGTGAGTCCCAAACTCAGCAACTTGAAGAATGCTCCAGTCAATATTTGTCGACTTCAATTCCCAGAATCCCCCAGCTGAGGAATCCTGGGAGTTGAAGTCTTCCCATCTTAAAATGACCACAGGTGGGCTACCCACCTGCTGCTACCTCTGAACTGAGGTTTCTGAGACAAGGAGCATCTTCCCTCCAGCTTTTCTCAGGGTTTGTTCCTCCTTGCTTGCATCTTTGTCTCCTGCCAGGCCTCTTCAGGCGCGCCTTCCAGAAATCGACCTCCGTTCGCAACATCCTTAAGCCCATTGGCGGCAAAAGGGTGGACTCGGCAGAGGTGCAGAAGGTGTGCAGCATCTGCGTCCTGTACCAGATGGCGCTGACCACCCTAACGCAGATTCGGCTGCAGATCCTCACAGGTTGGTTTTGGGGTGCTGGGGTGGTGGTGGTCAGTTGTAGGCACTCCCCTCGGGTAATCTAGTGAAGCGAAACGGATGGAAGCTGCCCTCCCTCCCTCCCTGCTCAGAGTGCCTTGACTTCGCTCCGGCTGCCTGCAGGGAAAACTTTTATCCTTGTGGCTTGTTGTGGGGAGGGGGAGACTGTTTGAAGAGAGGCATTGGTTAGAGCCTGGGCGAAAGGAGAGGCTCGATCTCCTCCCTCTCCTTCTCTTCCCCTTCCAGGCCTCACTTACCTGGACGACCTCTTGCCCAAGCTCTGGGCCCTCATCTGTGAGCTGGGCCCCCAGGGGGGGCTGAAGGTCTTCCTGGAGTGTTTGAACAACCACACCGAGGAGTCCAAGCGGCTGCTGGCAATGCTGATGCTCTTCTGCGACTGCTCACGCCACCTCATCACGTAGGTTGGGGGCAAGAGGGGCCCTGAGAGGCCCTGGCCTTCCCTCCCCCCCCCCTCGGTATGGATAACAGTGCAGCCTCTTTTCCCTTCCCCCTTTCACCCCTCCCAGGATACTGGACGACATTGAAGTCTACGAAGAGCAGATCTCCTTCAAGCTGGAAGAGCTGGTTACGATCTCCTCTTTCCTGAACTCCTTTGTCTTTAAGATGATCTGGGATGGGATTCTGGGTAAGTCCCTTGGGGTGGCAGAGGCCCTCCCCCCCTTTATGGGGCTGGTGTGTTTGCAGAGAGACGGGGGGGGGAGCCTTCTCTCAGAGAGGCCGTCTTTCTCTCGGCTGCAGAGAATGCTAAGGGGGAAACCCTGGAGCTCTTCCACTCAGTCCACAGCTGGCTGATGGTCCTCTACGAGAGAGACTGCCGGCGGCGCTTTGCTCCGGAGGACCACTGGCTGCGCAAGTAAGCGCCCTTCCCTTGCTGGGTTCCCTCCTTTATGGGCTGGTGCTCAGCGGCCCACCGGTCAGTTGCTGAAGGTCAGGCCGTCTCTGTGCCTCTGGCTGATTTTTATGTGCAGTTTGTGTGTTGTGTCGCTTAGGGACCTCAAGCCCAACTTGCTGTTCCAGGAGCTCGACAAAGATCGGAAACGAGCCCAGCTGGTCCTGCAGTACATCCCCCATGTCGTCCCCCACAAAAATGTGAGTGGGCGCTGAGCCAGGGCAGGGGGTCTAGGAGGTGGCAGGCCAGGGCTGACCAGTGGGAAGGCCCTGGCCTTGAAACAGACACGGCCGGCCGCCCTCCGATCCAGATGCGGTTCAAAAGGATTGAGGCTAAGGCAGGAGGCCCCGTCAGCATCTCGGCCCTTGGGAGGGCTCTGCTTGTGGTCCCCACTTTGCAAACCCAGCAGGGCTAAGCCACGCTCTTTCCCCCCGAAATTTAGCGGGTTCTTCTCTTCCGGAATATGGTCACCAAAGAGAAAGAGCAGCTGGGCTTGGTGGAGACCAGCTCTGCATCGCCTCACGTCACCCACATCACCATCCGTCGGTCCCGCATGCTGGAGGTGAGAGGGGTTGGCTGGTGGGCTGGTGGCCCTTGAGCGCTCCTTCCCTTCCCCTCCTGATCCTGGGGCCCATTTTGACACACACACCCCCAGGATGGCTACGAGCAGCTGCGCCAGCTCTCTCAGAACGCCATGAAGGGCGTCATCCGGGTGAAGTTTGTGAACGATCTGGGCATGGATGAAGCGGGCATCGACCAGGATGGCGTCTTCAAGGAGTTCTTGGAGGAGATCATCAAGAAGGTCTTTGACCCGGCCCTCAACCTCTTCAAGGTATCCACTCCAGGGCTGGAATTTGGGGACGACCCGGGTGGGCTCTGTGTCCAGCTTCTCAGCTCTCCTGCTCTGTTTCGGCACAGACCACCAGCGGGGACGAGAGGCTGTACCCCTCCCCCACCGCTTACATCCACGAGAACTTCCTACAGCTCTTTGAGTTTGTTGGGAAGATGCTGGGAAAGGCCGTTTATGAGGTAGGCCGAGTTTCACGACCGGTTGGTCTGCAGCACTCTTCACACGGGCCAAGTAGGGGAAGATGGGGCCAGTGAAGAAGGGCACCCAGGCTGCCTCGGGTTGGGGGTGTGGGGAGGATGCTGGTAGCTCTGCAGTTCTCCCTCAGCCCTCCCTGCCTTCCATCTTCTACGGAGGGGTCCTAGGTGCTGTCTGAGCTGGCTTGTTTTCTTGCCCAGACGTTTCATTACCCAAACCGGGCAACGCGATCAGTGCTAGGGATGGACCGATGATGCTTCCCAGTTGGGCAATTGCTCATTTCAACCCAGAGCTACAGATAATTCTCCTTTCTAGGGAATTGTGGTGGACGTCCCCTTTGCCTCGTTCTTCCTGAGCCAGTTGCTCGGCCATCATCACAGCATCTTCTACAGTTCGGTGGACGAACTTCCCTCGTTGGATTCCGAGTTCTATAAGAACCTGACCTCCATCAAGGTTCACTCCCAATTCTTGTGGCATTCCTTTGGTCCCCGGGGCAGCTGCTGCGGGGATCAAGTGGCTTCAGAGGGTGGGTTATACCGAGCAAAGCCCCTTGCCTCGTTGTTCCTCATCACACATGACGGGGCACAATAAGTGACCTGCAGGAGGTATTCAGCTGGGCTGGGGGGGGGGTTGTAAGCAGCAGAGTTGGTCTTTCTCTGGGGCAGGGTTTTTTTAAGACTAAATCAGCCTGGGTGTCAGGCAAGTTCTGGTGAACCATTTTCCTGCCGCTCCTTAGCAACGTAGCTGCTTTCTCATCCTCCTGCAGCGCTACGAAGGAGATACCAGTGATCTGGGCCTCACCCTCTCCTACGATGAAGATGTGATGGGCCAGGTAGGGTCAGAGGCCCCTCGAGTGGCACCTGCTTTCCAGGGGTTATCGGCTGCTTGCTTGTCCCATCCCCGTTTCTCCAGTAAAGGCTAATTTCTTTCCTTCCTCTCTTCCTCTCCAACTTTTGCCCCTCTAGCTTGTGTGCCACGAACTCATTCCAGGGGGAAAGACCATCCCCGTGACCAATGAGAACAAGTGAGTCTGACTTGGCTGCAAAACGCCTCTTTGCTTGTTCTACCCTTCACCCCCAAAGACCTGAGCTCCTGCCGCAAAGGGCTTGGGAAAGGCCTTTCCGGGGAGATGGGCTGTGAGGCTGGAGCTCAGCTCTCCGTCCCGTTGGCTTCCTCTCCCTGGCCAGGATCAGCTACATCCACCTGATGGCCCACTTCCGCATGCACACCCAGATCAAGAACCAGACGGCCGCCTTCATCGGTGGCTTCCGGTCCATAATCAAGCCCGAGTGGATCCGGGTCTTCTCTGCACCCGAGTTGCAGCGGTTGATATCTGGAGACAATGCTGAGATCGACCTGGAGGACTTGAAGTAGGTCCAAAGCCTTGACTCCTTCCGCCCTGGGTCCCTTGTGCTGCCAGAGGTCTCTGTGGGCAAACCCTGGAACCCCCCTCCGGCTTGCCTGAAGTGAGGATGGAGAGCATGAGAGGCAAAGGCTTTGCAACGCAACGTTCAGGAGAGAGAGTGGGAGATTTGTAGATTGCGGGGAGACACAGAGATCTGGTGGTGCAGTCCAGCACTTGGGGAAAGAAGGCGGGGGGTGGGGGTGGGGGAAGAGAAGAGTCCAAGGAGGGGGAGTTAAGAAGCTGCAGTGCTTGGGAGGAGAAGCTGCCGGCCTGCCTGGGAGACTCACCTTCTGAGGCAGGCGCTGGGTCACACCCAGTTCCAGCAGGAGAGGGGAATTGCAAAAGGCGCCTTTGGCCCTTTCAAGGAGGCATGGAAAGCCGAAGCATCTCTGCCCAGCTTGACATGTTTGGTTCCCTCTCGGTTGCCTTTCTAGGAAACACACTGTCTACTACGGGGGCTTCCATGGCAGCCACAGGGTCATCATCTGGCTCTGGGACATCCTTGCCAACGATTTCAGCCCCGAGGAAAGAGCCATGTTTCTCAAGGTAAGGGCAGCCGTATGCCTGCGTGCCCATGGGCGGCGAACAAGAAGAATTCCAATCCTGGGGGCCTCACTTTAAGAAAGGCCGAGGGAACCAAACAGTGGCGGCAGCAGCGTCCTTCCCAAAGTCCTCAGACCAAGCGCTACAATCTCACCCCCAGTGGGGCTCCCCCTCCTTTCCAGTGACAGTGCTGTGTCCCACTCTCTGACTGCCCTGCATTTCTCTATTGTCTCTCAGTTTGTTACCAGTTGCTCCCGGCCGCCACTGCTGGGCTTCGTCTACCTCAAGCCTCCCTTCTCCATCCGGTGCGTGGAAGTGTCGGATGACCAGGTGTGTGGCTGGTGATGGGGCAGGGAAGGTGCCTCCCGAGCCGGTGCTTGCGTTCCCAGGCAAAGTGCAGCAAGCTGGCGTTCTGTGGGGCAGACCCAGAGCCCTCGGGCACCCTGGGTCTGGAAGGGTTGCCGGCATTCCTGGGACGTCGGAGAGGAAGGAAAGGAGGGGGAGCCTGGCACTCTGCTTGTGGAATTGGGGTTCAGCGACTTCGGCTGGTGAGGTCCCCCCTTATTTCTGTCTCAGGACACGGGGGACACCCTGGGCAGCGTTCTGCGGGGGTTCTTCACCATCCGGAAGAAGGAGCCGGGGGGGCGCCTGCCCACCTCCTCCACCTGCTTCAATCTCCTGAAGCTGCCCAACTACAGCAAGAAGAGCGTTCTGAGGGAGAAGCTGCGCTACGCCATCAGCATGAACACGGGCTTTGAGCTCTCATAGCAGCCCTGGCAGGAGAGAAGGGCCCAGGGGCCAGTTGGCCAGACAAGCAGCGCCTTCCCGGAGCCTTGGCGAGCAAGGTGGGCCCGAAGCCCTTGGGACTCAGGTGCCCAGGTAGAAAAGGAGCTGCCTCCAGCACTGCTTTGCTCCTCGGAGACCGCAGCTGGCCTGCCATTAAACGTAGCCTTGCCTGCAAACCTTGTGCAGTTACCCGTTGCGGGCAGGGGGTCGCTGGAGGTCGTACCGCGTGGAGGGCTGGGCAGGAGGTCCCTTGGGTTAAGAGCCCCCCCAGGCTGTTGCGGAGGGCTGGGCCATTCATGCCATCTCGTCTCTTCCTCTGCATTGCCGAGACCTTCCCGTCTGTCCTGGTCAAACTTCCCAGCTGCTCTGGGCGGGCTCTGGCCAAGCTCTTCCAGGGCTCCCGTGTAAGAAGCCACCGAGGCCCCGGCCTGCTCCTGCTCAGAGGGGATGAGAGATTTGAGTTAGCAGCGGCCAGAAAACCTGTTCCTCACTGAGCCTGCAAGGCTGCCTTTACCTCTTGATCCCAAAGTGGGAGTCCTTGTTCAGCCCAGTTTTGTTCTCTTGAACTGCTGGCCAAACTAGTTTGGCTTTGGATCAACTTTGCTCCAAAGGCCCCCAGGCCCTCCCCAGCAAGGAACAGGAGACCGCTTTCATCTTACTGAGATGGCTCTCCCATTGCAGCCCCTCTAGTCGCGGGACTGGAATCCACCGGTCAGCCGTCAGTGACCAAGACCCAGGGCAGGGTGACTCCAGTGTGTGAATCAAGAGGGTCCTTAGAACGACCTCCCTGTGGGAAAGCCTGGCGCAGAAGGCGCTCGAGTACCCTTGGGCCGATTGGTGGGGTCTTTCAGCCCCAAGAACGAGCGCATAGGCAGAGGTGAGGGGGAACCGCTGGGCAGACCAGGGTGGTCCTGTGTCAGTTCTCTCAGGGACTTTGTTGTTCTGAAGTTTAGTTTGGCTGTTTGTGGATGGAGGCACTAATTGCAGGTGGGTTGAGACCAGGGGGCTCCCAAAGTTGGCAACTTTAAGACTTGTGGACTTCAACTCCCAGAATTCCCCAGCCATTATGCTACACTTGTCAACTTTGGAGAGCCGTAATGTAGACTGAAGTGGGCGTTTGCACCCTGTCTTGATGTGGGGCAGATCGTTCTGTCCTCCTCTTGAAGTTTCCCAAGCCCCATGGAATGAGCTTGGAGCCTGCGGAGGTTCTGCCGTCTGTGGATCTGGTTGTACTCCCACTGGTCTTCCTCAGGAGCGTGTGTGCACGCGTGGATGTACTTATTTTGAACAAATAGAAGCGGCTGATCAAGAAAGGCTACCCAGCGTTTTTCTACCTTTTAAAATAAATTGGGTGAATCTGTCCATAGGAAAACATCTTTTGCTCCCAGTCCAGCTCTATTAAGTGGCGGTTTTCCACAAGAGTCTGGAGCTCAGCATGTCTGGGGCCGGATTGTGATCCTGCTCCCAGGTAGCTGCACTGCTTGTGTGCGAGTGTTTATTTTAGGAAGACAGATTACAAACCTCAAGTGTGTCACCCTTTTGCACAAATGTTGTAAAATATGAAGAAAGAAGAGTTGGTTTGTAACAAACTAAAAACAGTGCAAGGTATTTTGAGAATGTTGCTTTTATTTAAATCCAGTTCTTTTTAATTTTAGAACATAGCTACTGCCTTGAAATACACCCCCCCCCCTTCTCAATAAAGGGCTGGACCCAGACAGGATCATAAGTGTGGAGCTGTTCTGGATGCTGGTTCACCCCGTTTCCTTCCTGATTTTCCGTTGGGGATTATGCAGTGTGGACCTGTGGCTGCCACTGTGGGCCTTCCAGAGAGAGGTTTCAAATTGCCCTCTTGGAGGAGGGGTGCAGCCTCCCCCCACTTCTGGTGCCCTCCCACCCACTGGAATCCAGGAGTGGCCAGTCCCAAGGAGCCTGGCAGCAGCTGCCCGTGGCTTCCCACAACCTTCAATGCGCAAACTGGGGCTTTAAAATGCACAGGCCCCTCCCTCGCACATTGTGCCGTTGCTCAGGTCACCTGGAGGCCCTTCCTTGGAAGCCATCGGTTCTCTTCTCTCCCCATGCCCTGCACCCTGCATGCGTCTTTTCCCAGGAGAGACTTTTGCCGAGGAAATCAATAAATTATTTTGCTCTTGGATCACTTAGTATTTTTTTAGTTACGGCCCGTTCTTCACACTGGAAATTCAGGAATACAGGAAATAAAGTTGAAAAACTGGTTGAATGCTGCGGTGGCGTTTCTTTTTTAAAAATGCATAACTGGGAGAACAGAGAAGCTGGTGAAAGAGCTTAGTGGCAAGGCTTGATTCTGGAACATTTGCCAGAAGTGCCCGTCTCTCAAAAGCTGCTTTCCAAGATTGTTGACAAGACGTATAGATGGATGTGGCCGAGGGAAGAAATCCAGATCCATTTTAATTTTGATCGAAGGAACTTGGCAGGCAGCATCATGCTTAACTGGAGCCAATGGGACTGAACTAAACCTGAATTCCCTTCAGTGTTCCAAGATGCAACAAAGGCATCTTCAGGCATCATCATCAGTTGCTCTGAATTCACACACACAAGCCGGACTCCCAACAAAGCTGCCAGGAATCTGAATTTCCGTGGGCTTCTATTGGCTTTTCAGGTAGGGATCTGAGCGTTTCAAATTGCCAACATTTTACACTTCGCTTTGCCTTCTATCAGCTCAAAAGTTGTTCATTGCACATCATGTATTCATGAGTTTAGTCTTGGGGCTCCATCCTTCTGTAGATTTGCTCCTTCTTCCCTTCCTGCTTCGCAGCAAACCGGGCCAAGACAAACAGGTAGTCACTCAGCCTGGATACGGGGAAGAAAAGAGTCACCCTTCATCTGTTGACAGCAGGGTTAGAGAGAGATCCCCAGCCAGAGCTGGGAGACGCATCTGGGCATAGGGGAGAGAATGGCCAAGCCTGATCTCTATGACCCACACATGCATTCAGCTCCCCTTGCCAAAGTCTGCAGGAAAAGCCCACGGAGGTACAGAGTCAAGAGTTACCATTTCTGCCCAAATAATTCCCTTGAAGCAGCTGGGAGTTTGAACACAATGCTACAGTAAAATAGCAAAAGGCCAAAGAATCTCAGGTGGACCTCTTTCTGGAGAGGTCGCAACATTTTATATGCCTCTCCAGCAATGTCCTATGGCAGAAAACTAAATTGATCTTCCCTGTTGTAGGACTGCAGTTATGGCCTGCAACATTTGTCTGCCTGTTTACACATGTAAATCCAAGTTACCTGTTTAAATACTTGGCCACATTTGCATCTGCTTCTCCTGTTTTCACCAAAGGAACAACCTGTGGAGGCATAAGGAGACAGAGGCCCAAACGCCATGATGACACAAAGCAACTGAAGTTTACAAAAGGAAAACCATCCCGACCAGGTGTTTCATTTATGTGTTTTGCTTGGACAGCGACCATTTAGGGGACGGCTTCCTCGTCTCTCCCGTGGCTCTATCAACAACTCTTAAACCCACAACTCCCGCGGGGTCTCCTATAGCACCTTTTAGACTCTTCCCATGCAGGGGAGCATTTATTCTAAAACCCGCCTCCAGGTTCTTGCCAACTGAAGAACAGACCCCGTCCCTTACCGCCTCTCAGCTCTGCGACACACGGCTCTGGAGAGATGGAGCGCAGCACTGCTTTTTCCACCAGACTAAAATGACACAAGCACAAGACGCGAGATTTGCTTTGGCCCCAAATCATAGGATTTAGTGGCTCACTAAAGAAGACCCCTCTGGCTGCCTTTCCTTTTTTTTTTTTTTCAACGTAGGATGTAAAGGCATGAAGTTGTGATCCTGGCACGGAAAAACTCTTCAGGGTTTCTAGAGGCCTAAGTCCAGTGGTTACATCCTCACTCCAGGACTGAAGGCCCAAAACATGGAAGAGCACATAAAGAACTTACTGGCAAAATGAAGGAGGTGAGTGGTGGGAGCTGATCTGAGTATTTGTCTATCCAGCTTTCCAATTCCAGCACAGGCTTCTCACTGAAGGATGTTCGCTCTGAAGAGGAGGAGGAGAAGGCCAGTCACACAAGATGGCCTGGAGGAAAATCTTGACAAAGCCTCAAGCCCCTTGGAACGTGCCCAGAATGTTTTCCCCTCTCCCATGGAAGAACAGTCTCCTGCATTGATCTGCCAAGCGTGACTCCCAAGGTGTCAAATCCAAAAGCAGGCTCCCCTCACTTAGGGACCCTTGGAAGCCTTTGGTTTTCAATCAAGAAAAGCAGGTTGCAGATTCCAATCAGTGAAACAGCCATGGGAGAAGTTATCTGGGCTTTCAACTCTCGGCAACGTGTTTGAATAGCATATTCCTTACCAACCTCCAGCTTCTTAGAGAAGTCCTACTTACTTATGTGAGACTCCCTGGCTGAAGAGATGGGCGTTGCCACATTAGAGCCGGCATCTTGCAGCATACACTGGACCTGCGGAGGGGAAGTCGAGACATGTTGGGGGTACAGAAAGGTGGTATCACCTGGAAGGCAGTCAGGCCTCTGTTTTAATCCGGCTATGCACCTCTCAGAGTAAGAGAGGAGTAACAGCTTGGCCCAGATAGAAAGGATGGTTTCAATTTATTTCTCACCTTGTGGAGTTCTTCCACAAACGTGTGGCCACTTTCACTGCCAAATTCAGCACTCAAGCTGCAGTGAAAAAGAACAGAGTTTCCAGATGTGACTCCCCCTCCTCTAATGATATCCAACAACTATTCAGCCAGTCTGAAATCTATGGAACTGTCACATTTTTTCCCTAAGTCTCTCTAGAGAGCTGGTGTGTGGCAAGTATGCTGTTATTTTTAGATGTTAATGTTGCTTTGCAGGATTTGCGCTTCTAGTTCAGAGTGAACTTTTGCCTGCCCCTGTCTAAAGTGCAAAGGCCCCGCTGCTGACAGGCAGCCACGAGCACCTCATGAGGGAGGAGGAGGAGGAGGCACCTTTGTCTGAAACATTTTGGCATAAAGGCCGACAAGCAATCTTGCAATTACCCTATAGCCGAACTCAGCTCGTCCAGGGTTCCCAAAGCGTCAAAGACCTGGTCGTCTTTGGCTCTCCTCTCCCCGGTGAAGGTGCTGGAAAACCCTTCAAGCCCAACCCGAGAGAGAAAACGGGGGAGTCAGCCGAGGACGGGCACGGGGCCCCCGCCTAGCCACGCCGCCTTCCGGGGGGAAGAGGGGGGGCTACCTGTGTCTCCCGTCTTGGTGTAGATCTTGGGGGCTCCGCGGCTTTTCCGGGGCTTGGGATCCGGGCTGCAGGGGAGGAAGGGAGCCGGATGAAGGCAGCAGCCAAGGGAAGGAGAGCGGGCCCTTCTGGGGCTCCCCGCCCCCCCCTTCGCCCCTCCCGCCCCCAGGGAACCAGCCCAGCCGGGCTCCCCCCCTCCTCTCCCCTCCCCCCCCGGGGGCATTTGGCAGGATCCGCGTCTCGGGCTGCAATCTCGCCACGGCCTCACCAGGGCGGGTCGGGCCCCGGTTCCCGGCAAGAGGCCCGGCTCCTCGCCCCGCCGCCGCCCGCCGCCGCCCGCACCAGGAGGAAGCGCCCGCCCCGCCAGCCCGCGCCAGCCATGCCCGGGGAACGAGGGCGAAGCGCCCGGCCAAGTTTGTCCCTTCCGGGCGGCCGTCGTCGCAGCCCCCGCTGGCTTCCGATTGGGCGCGGCGCTGCGGGGAGCGGCCAATCGGGGGAAGGAAAGACGGCGCCCGCATCGCCCGATTGGGCGGGGGCGGAGCGCCGGCCACGCCCCTTCGGAATGTTCGGATCCCCTTGAGCGGCGGCTGGGACAGGTGAGGGTCTCTCCCGCCGGCCCAGCATGCATTGCGCGGAAAGCCCCCCCCCTCCCCCAGGGGCGGAGGCGGAGGGTCAGCGGGGAGGGCCGACGGGGGGGGGGGTCCCGGAGCTTTGCCCCCCTCGGACGGACGGCGCTTTTCTCTCTCTCGGCAGGGAGGCGATGTGGAAGCGGAGCCTGGTGCTCTCCGCCCCGGGGAAGGTGATCCTGCACGGCGAGCATGCGGTGGTGCACGGAAAGGTAGGGCCCCCCCAGCCCCCCCTTGGCCTTTGCACCCCAGGGAGGGAGGGAGGGTGGGGGGCCCTTCTCCTCCTCCTCCTCCTCAGCACCTCAGTTTTATCGGTGGACTTTGACTCCGTCCCTCCGTCTGGTGACTGTGACCTTCCTCCCCTGATGCCTTTGGGAGGCAGGTGGCTCTGGCAACCGCCCTGGACCTGCGGACTTTCCTCCGGATGACTCCGCGGCAGGATGGGAAAATCTCCCTGCAGCTGCCGAATCTGGGGAGCCAACTAAGCTGGGAAGCCGCAGAGCTCCGGCCGCTGCTAGCCGCCTTCTCAGGTAGGCCCGAGGCGCCTCTGGGGAATTCCACCTTCCTGCCTTTCACCCTCCCTCCCCCACAAGGAGCCGCTGGGGAAGCCGGCCTCTTCGCCATCCGGCTGGGGGTGTTGCGCCCCCCAAAGCAACAGCCTCTCATCCTTGTCTTCCTGCTGCCATCGGTCTACCATGTTTCGCTTTCTTTGCGGGGCTCCAAAAATCAGCTTTACCTTAAAGCTTTCGGTGGGTGGCCTGGGAGAACCCTGCCCAGGGTTAGGTTTTCCGAAACTCCCGGGCCTGTTTAACTGCCTTTGAGAGTCTCTTAACTGTTTCCTAAGAGCATCTGATAGTCTTTAGCTGGCAATCGGGCCGCGTGCTTTCAAAATTGGATCCGTCAAATTCTGCCCCTGATCTGCAACTTGTTGTTGGTGTTATCCTGATGCATGTGAAATAGTTAGTAAAGCGTTCCTGTCCAAACCTACTGAAGAAAGGGGTCTCGCCTCCCTTTCTGGGCATAGAAGATGATGTCTCCTGCTCTTCGTTCTCTCCTCAGTTGAACTGCCTGAAGCGCAGCCCCCCAGTGCTGAACAAGTGGAGAAGCTGAAAGAGTTTGCGGGGGGCGATTATGGACATGAAGCAGTCCAGAGTGTAGCTGCTGCAGCCTTTCTTTATTTGTACTTATCTGTGGCATCTAAATACGGGTAAGACTATGGAGCTCACCTTTGCTGTGTGGCTCTTTCGCTCTTGGCAGTCAGGATTGCCAAACATGCCTTCCCAATTTCCACATGAAGAATTTGGAGGCATTGATGGAGATTGTGGAGCTATCCTGCCCTTCTCTGGGAATGTCAGTACTCAGGAGGGTTTAGCGAATGTGTAGATGACTGTTAATGTGGATCCTAAAGAACAGGCAGTGCGAGATACGATAGATTGAAAGAAATAGAGAAAGAATGGGATACAGCCAACGAAGCTTGACAATGAAAGACAACAGAAGAAAAAAAAGATGTTTTATTATCACATGAATTTAAAATCAGGATTGTGGGATAATTATTTGCAGAAAATAACTCATGAGCCATGAAATAAAATCAGGGTGTGGATTATATCTATTTTATTAAAAAAAATCAGGAAACTAGGAGTGGGCAGCATATAACACTTCTTACAGATTACTTGTTTCTAAGGCACCGCATCCCAAAAAAACCAGAGGAGAAAATGAGCAAAGGAAAGACCGGTTCTGTGGTCTTACTCGTTCTGTAAGGCTGTTGTGATTCATCATGAAAGCAAAGGCTATTAAATTCTGCTCAGCATGAGGAAAGCAATGAGTGGAATTGCAAAACTTTAATGTTCACAATGTTCTTATCTTTCAGGGTTCTGCCAACTGTTGACATCTTAGTCTGGTCTGAGCTGCCCACCGGCGCTGGGTTAGGCTCCAGCGCAGCGTACTCGGTCTGCCTGGCAGGGGCATTGCTTTTTGGATGCGGCGCCATCAGCTATCCTCTGCAGGAGGGCCAAGAAACAGCTAGGTAGGAACTGGGAAAGAGAGGAGTTGGAAAATTGTTTCCACCTGTCCACGTGGAACTGGGCATTTGTTAAGGGAGCTTTTTGTCATCTTAAAGCCCTTCATTTGGGGTCTTGTTGCTCAAAGATAAGATTGCAGTTCTAGGGACCCAGGTGCATTTTTTCATCCTGTCCGGTTTAAAGGACCAGAAGCAGCAGGTCAAAGGAGGACCTGGAGGGCTGCTGAAAGGGGGTGGGGAGAGGTTGATCTCAACCGAGGCCTCTTCTGCTCTTCCAGATGGACCAAGGAGGAGCTGGACGTGATCAACAGGTTGGCCTTCCGAGGAGAGCAAGTGATCCATGGGAATCCTTCTGGAGTGGACAACGCTGTGAGCACCTGGGGTTGGTGTTCTCTTTTCTTCTTTTGCATTTCTGAACTAGCTCAGGTACCGCAAGGAGCCTTTTGCCCCTCTCTTAGGTACTGAGCTGAGCTGTCTTAGGGAACCACATTAAATGCTCCTTAGGATTCCGGGAAGGAATTTTGACTGCCGTAGACCCCAAGGCCTCCCTTCTCTTGGTTTTTGGTAAAGGAGTAAATAGCCAGATGTTTCCCTCTTGCTAGGTGAAATTGAACAATTTTGCAGAATATGGTAAGATGAAACATCCTGGGGAACAATTTTTCTTTCCTTCTTTCCCAAATGTTTAGGTGGAGCCTTGCGGTATATTTCAGGACAAATCTCTGTGTTAAAAAGGTAAGGTTCATTTTAGCATCAATGTTTAGATTGTTTTAACAAGAATTGGTGGCTTTATAAAAACATTTTTTAAAGATTGAGTTGTATTTTTAGCATGATGGCATGTCTTGGTATTTCCGTCAGAAAAAGATAGTTTTCTTCAATGTTTTGATTTGCAGAATGATCAGTGTGTTAAAAAGTTTTGATTTAAAAAAAAGGGGGGGAAAGCCTTGATGGCTGATTAATTTCTTTAGGCAGACTGACAGAGTCTTATTTTCGAAGGAGAGCACTAGCAGCCTTCCACTGATCTCACTCTGGGCCTGAGGTCTCACACTGCGAAGGGTCCCTTCGGCAAGCAAGTGTCACATTAGAGAGTTTGCATGCTGAGCGTTGCCAGGGCTCGGAAAAGAGATTGCCAGCAAGGGCTCAGCGACAGCTCCCTCCTCCCCCCCATACACACAGTACCTTCCGCCAGCTTGGCCTAATCGGACTTCATTAGAATCTTTCGCAGGGCGTGAAATTGCTCTATTAGCAGCTAATGTTAGACACCAGTTATTCTGTTGGCAGTTATTAGAAAACAAATTTTGGCTTGCGAAATGTGGGCCTTGGTTGGGTCGTTTGGAGAGCGCTTACAACACACCAAGGAGTCTAATTGTAAGTAAACCGTGGCTCTAATTGGTGATTAAGCTTAGCTAGCGAAGGTCCCTTCCTTGTGCGACGCTGGCTGTGCGGCATTCGCAGGGGCGGAAGTGAAGGCTGCGAGATGCTTCAGTCCCCCCTCGGGGTGGGAGACGATGGGGCTTGTAATTTCACCTTCCTGCTGTGGAGATGCTTGGCAAAATCCTCACCCCTCTCCCAGGCTGCAAACATCCAGGTCCTTTAGGGGAAAATAAAACCCGTACCATCCTCCTTTGGCTGTGCCTGATGGGTCTGCATTCTTAGTTATTGCATAGCAATTCCCAGACTGTTGACTTGTTTTCTAAGAGTCTTTTTCTTCTCAGTGTGCCCACTTTACGGATTTTGCTGACCAACACTAAAGTTCCACGCAGCACCAAGATCCTGGTTGCGGGGGTTAAAGCCAAGCTCCTGGAGGTATTTCTTCTGGTTCCCCTCTGAGGCTTTGTGACTGCCCAGAATTTATGGTTGGTGATAGGTCAAAATACACTCAGGTTTGGAAGAGGGGCTGTATAAAAAGCACAGCTGTTCTGAGTGCCAGGAAGCAGGAGACGGCTGGCCTGTTTCTGGGTGTTTAGATGGTCGCCAAGAATTCTTTAAACAGTATTGCTTGGGTCTCTGACCCTTGACCTTTGGGGCATCATTTTAGCCAAATATTCTTTGCAGCTCTGCCGAAAAAATGCCGTTCATGAGGGTCCGTTTCTTGCTAACTTTAATAGAAGCAGGTGTTTTTTTTAAAAGTAAACCTTATAACTGTGCCAAGATAGCTTGAATAAGATTTCAGATGGTTTATGCTTTTTATTTTTGCTCTTCCTCCTCCTCTCTCTCTCTCTCTCTCTTTCTCTTTCTCTCTCCCTCCCTCCCCCTATCATTTTTCCTCCTGCAGTTTCCCACTATCATGGAGCCAATGCTTGCTACCATAGATGCAATTTCTCGGGAATGCGAAGGTATTCTTGAGGCAATGACCAAAGATCCATCTCAGGAACACTACTCCAGGCTGGAGGTAAGCCCTTATCTTGATTCCTTCATGAGGACTAGAACCCCGCTTTTAAAACTGAAAAACAACCTTGGCTTTTTTGCCACACTTATTTCTGTCTGAAGCACGTTCCCTGCTTCTGCTCCATGTTTCTCCTCTCATCAGTGTCGCTGCTTTTTTCCTCAGGACTTGGTAGACATCAACCAGCACCTCCTCAATGGCATCGGGGTCGGCCACGCCCTGCTGGACCGCGTCTGCCAGGTCACTTCCTCCCATGGACTGCATAGCAAACTGACCGGGGCTGGGGGAGGCGGCTGCGCCATCACTTTGCTTCGACCAGGTAAGTCTTTCCTGGCCGGCTTTTGCCTTCCTTTGCACAGGTTTCATTCTTGCTCTTGAATTCTCCGTTGGTTGCGGGTCGGTTGAGTTCACAATCAATTGTGTAAGTGAAAGAGCCCTACAGATGTGTTGCAGTGCAGTTGTTGGGGGCATATTGGCTTTCAGTTGGATGTGCTACTTTCAGCGGCTTATGGGCCTCCTTTACAGCAGTGCTTCTCGACTCTGGCATCTTTAAGACCTGTGGACTTCAGTTCCCAGAATTCCCCAGACAGCTATGCAACACTTCTTTAGAATTTACCTTAAGTGCCACACTTAAGGTAACCACGAACCATTCTTAAATTCTACTTAAATGCTTCCGAGGTGTAGCTCAGAGGCATGTTGCTCCTTAAAAGTGCCTGTCTGGGTGGCTGCGGCCATTTGCGTGTGATCCCAAGCTCAGCGTTCGTGGTGAGCCTACCTTCCCATCCTCTACCTGCATTCGTGGCTCTTCAGCTCCATTTTCTTCGGCTGCACTTTCTGAGTGCCAAACCTTCTATGCTGCTTTGGGCACCGGCTTGGGGTGGCTGGGCAGCTCGGTACCCACCTCTGCTGTTTTGAGTGTCTAACTGGGGAGCACCGTCTCTTGGCAGGCACCGCTCCTTCGGCGGTGGAAGACGCCATCCGAGACCTGACCCACTGCGGGTTTGAGTGCTGGGAGACGGTCATCGGGGCGCCTGGCATAAGCGCCCACGCCTTGCCGTGCCTGAAAGCGGAAGTGCAGAAGGCTTTGAAGGGCAGTTAATGGTGGCCGTGAAGAGCGACTCTTCCTCCACCTGGGACCTGCCCTGACTCGGACTGGACATCCAGGCAACGTCCAAGGCGGCCCAGCGGGACTTGATCAGTCAATTTGGGAAGGGTGCAGGTCTACTCAGTGGGAGTGGGGGCTGCTGAAGCACCAGGGGGCCGACCTGCTGTTGACTTGACTCTACTGCTAACGGGGGTCTTCGGGTACGCTAGTGTAAATCCTTGCACCTTTTGCACACTGCCAGGTCACGGGCAGGCAGGAGGGGGAGTCGCTCCCTCCCATGACAGCCCATCTCCTTAGTGGCTTTCCCACAATCCCAAACTCTTCTTATCCCTCCCCCCCCAATTGACAAGGCCTGGCAAGTTTGCTCTGGGAAGATGTGCTATTAACTGTCTCTTTTCTGATTCGTCTCTAATTTTTAAGGCTTCCTGGGGAAGATTCCAAGCATAGCATTACTGCCTTTCCTGGCCTGTGCTGAGGGGGGGGGGGTTCCCCCATTAATGAGGTGCTGAATGGCTTAAAGGGAATGAAAAACAGGACTTCTGAATGCCCTCGAAACCAGCATGTATGTTTCAGGGCCATTGCTTTGTGTCCGTAATTGTATTTGGTCAGTTAGTCAACTCAAGCTTTTTGGTGTTAGAGGGGTTGCGAGGCCCCTGAATAAAGGTTGGGGTCAAAGATGGCTCTTCTGGCTTTTGTGTCAGGGCTTCCTTCAGTCCTGGGCTGAGGGGGGGGGGGTGTTGTCTTCCCAGCAAACAGCCACTGCTGGGGTCGGGGGGTGGGGGGGCGCTTGGCCTGAACTGGCAGCTGGTTTGAGCGAAGTTTCTCAGTGAGCGCAGACACTTTTCTGAACAGCAGAGGGCAGCATAGACCCACTTACAGAGGAGCTATGGCTAGGAGGGTCTTTTGATTGCAAAGGTGGGCAGGGATCCCAGCTGCTGGGAGGGGGCTCCATTGGTTCTCTCGGAATGCCCGCACCCCTGGCAGGGGGCTATTCTTACAGCTCATCGGGGCCAAGTTTGTGCCACCCGGGAAGGTGGCAGAGCATGGGAAGCTGGGTGGGCACTTTTTATAAGTGGTAGAGCAGACCACTGTTGGGGGGAGGGGGTGATTTTGAGACACACACACACACACACACACACACACACACACACTCCATATGGGCAAAGTGGGAGGGAAGCCCAGAGCCTGCAGAGGCCTCCAAGCGTTTCTGGGAATTCAGTGGCTGCCACACTTTGCATTCCACTTCATCCTGGTTATTATTCTTGGATTTCACCTTTTGCTCTCCCCCCCCCCTCCCACTCTCTGGCCTTTGAGAAGGAGGGGCAGCCCTTGAAGAAACAAACGGAAGTTAAACAAAACCATGGTTTGATGGGATGTATAAATGTAGCCATGTTGGGTCTAGAATTTAAAATGGATTTCGTTGTTCTGCTGGGTAATGGCATCCCTCCCCAAGTTGATGGGACGGGGGGGAGGGGATCTTGCATCCCGGATCATCTTTCTGGCCCTAATTTGAGAAACGGGACCTTCCTCTGTTTGGAGGAGAATGGCGGGTGGAGCAACCGTCTCTGGAAAGGAGCACAAGACGGCAGAAGTGACCGGAGGGTCATCGCAGGACAATAGCCGCAAAGGCAGCCTCTCTGCCTGCTGCCCCCAAGGAGATGCCTGCCCCCCCTCACACGCCCCCCTTGCCTTTTGTGGTGGGCTCCTTCCTTTGCTTCCAGGCCCCTCTTGTCAAAGATGCACGTTAGGGAGGACTGACGGATCAGGCTGGTAATTTGGCTAATTTTTCTCAAGCGTCACTTTTGCACTGATGAGCTTTGTGGAGGGAAGACTAATCATTCTCCCCGTTGGCTCCTAATGGCCGGAACAGCCCAGGAAAGCGGAAGATGAAAAGAACGCAAAGGAGCAGCTGAGAGCCGGCCTCCCCTCCCCTCCCCTCCGGGAGCAAAATGTGGGCAGAGCCAGGCCAGGTTTGGCAGCCCCTGGCAGAGATCAGTTGCGCAGGGATGCAGGAATGCGGTCAGAGAGACCATCTGCTCCTGAAAGCTGTTTCATTTTGGGAGAGGCTGGCTGCTAGAGGCCAGGAAAACACTGGCTGGGGGCCTGGATGTGGGGGGGGGGCAGGTAATCAAGACAGTCGAGTGCCGGACTTTGCCCACATCCTGCCTTGAGGCAAAACCTGGGAAACGGAGAGCTACAGCTGAACAGGTGAACCTCCAAGGCTGAAGCTTTTCCGGTCGGTCTCATCAGAATTGATGGGTCTTTTGAACCGGGTTGGCGCTCAGAGGCCAGAAGCCTCCCTGGCCTGTTCCTGGGCTGGTTTCACTCCTGTGAAGGGTGAGGATGACGAGGCAATTTGGCAGCCGGAAAGAGAAACCAAAACGTTGCCGATGACTGTGAGGCTATTTATACCTTTTCCAATCATTTGCTCAGCTACTTTAAATATGCTTAACCTGCTTTTCGGTTTAAAGCTAATTTTCAGCAATGTGCCAATAAAAGCATCAAAATTATACAAAAACTTAAAACGGTAACATTGAGCCTGTAGCACTGAATAATTGAGCAACAGGCTGGTAACTAGAGCTGTATTAAAATAACTCTTTATGAGGAGGCTGGGGAAATGACATTGTTTTTACATAACCTCTGGAACCATGCTCCACTGCCAAGAGGATTGGGGGGAGCAATCTTCCCCTCCTGCACAAGCTGGCTGGACAGAGGGGGGGGAAGCCCATCTGGTCGAACCCTCTGAGCTGCTTTCTCTGTCCAAGTGGGACTCGGCCCAGCCCAGCCCAGAGATTCTTCTCGGCTTCTTGTCCTGCCCCTTCTTGGGGTCAGTTTCTACCATCCTTTGGGGGTCCTTCCTGCCTTGGGCCCCACTGCAGTGGCCTCCCTGCCCTGTTAACCCTGGGGGGGGGCTTCTGCCTTCCCCCGGAGTGGCAGGTGCGGGAGAGCCTGGCTGGGCGCTGCAGATGGTTTTATGCTGAACGTCAGCAGTGGCTGCTTTGAATGGATGCTTGGGAGACAATGGCGTTGGGGGAGATAAGAGGCAGAAAAAGGGGTCAGGATAGAAAATGTCAGAGCAGGAGCTGAAAGGCAGCTCGCTCTCTCTCTCTCTCAGATCCGAGGGAGGCTGGTGGAGATTGTGTGGCTCAGAGCCCCCTCCCAAGCATTGCAGCACTCATGTCGGTTTGATCTCCGCTTCTTAATCCTGCTTTTGGGGGAGAGAACGGCCCCATCAGTGGAAAACAATGTCTGGGTTGACACTTTGCACCAAGCCATAATTGCCTGACTTTGTGCACACGCTTAAGCCACGATTTACAGGCTGCAGTGGCTGCTTCACTCTGAGTCTGCACTCTAAGCCAAAGCCCACCCAGCTATTTAGGGCTTCGCCTTCAGAACTGGTCAGGATATTCCACTGTGGAACAGAACGGAAATAGGTCACACCCAAAACCCCCTCTTCTGGAGCCCTCCGAGCAGGCCTGGTTCCCAGGGTGGAAGGACCCGCAACTCTTAACAGTGTGAAATTGTGGCCAGAGCCGAGTCGATGAAGAAGAGATCTAGAACAAGGTGCCCTGTGAAACATCTGGGCGTGGCCCTAGAAGAAGACTTCCTGTGTAACCTCTTGCCATTTACTCCCTGGAGTATCAGAGAAGGCTCTTCATCTGTTCTCCATGTCCGACCTCTCCCTGGTCAAGAGCGTTTCCTTCAAGAGCCAAGATCTTGAGGCAGAGGAAAGGCCGTATTACAGGATCCAAGTCCCTGCCGCTGACAGGGAGCCTCTCTTGGATGGAGCCCTTGGGTCTGGGAAGCCCACCGTCCGCTCCAGATGTGCCACCAAGGTGACCTCAAAGCTCTCCGCGGGGGAAGGAAGCCAAGTGGCTCAGCTGCTGCCCGTCAGGGTCCTGCCGAGGTGTTTGGAACTGGCCGTGCGCCTTGAGGTCTCGGGAGAGCAGAATTGGGTGTCATCAGCTGGCAAGGCTGGTGGTTCTTGAGGGTGTGGAAGTGTCTGCTGGGGGCCTGTGAACTTCTGCATCTTTTTGACAAGGGGGCCGTGCTTCAGACAGACCCTCACTCCTCAGTTGGGGAGGGGGTGAGACAGGGCAGATGGGCCCGGGGCTTCCTTCCCCAGCGTGGAAGGGCACCCGTGGCAGCCTGTTACTCCGTGATGGATTTAAGGCATGAATCCCCCTCCCCAGGAGCCCCCCACGGCACCGTGAAGGTTTTGAAAGTTAAGTATTACTGTCGGCTTTGTTGTTGCCGAACTACGACAGACAAATTGAGAACTAGTTGTCAAAATGTCAGTGCACAACAAATCAACATTCAAAATGAGTCTCGGTGCAATGTGGTGTATAATTAAAAAAAAATCCTTTTTAGAAATTTCGGCAAGCATTGGCTTGGCTTTATATTTGTCTGTGTGATTAATAAAGGCAGCTAATTTTCAGACTTTAAAAACAGCTAGAAAATAGCTCCTAATTACATATTAGGCTCCGAACGTCCCCCGCTGTGCTCGGCTGGTATTGGTGGGCCAGGAATTTTGGCAGGGGCTTAATTACATTCTGAGAGCTTCATCTAATTTTAGTTAAATGTAATGTAATCAGCAGCAGATGTCTTGAAATAAAATATGAATTATGAATATGAAGAAATTCCTTTAAATAATTCTTTAAAAAATAATTGGCCATTGAGTTTTCTCCAAAGCGGCACAGAGCTCAGTAGGAAGAGGCTGGAGGCTGGGAAGTGGGGTTCAATTATTAGGGGGGCGGGGAGCGGAGGTGCTGGGGCTTTCAAGGTTGAGTAGGAGGCACGGAGAGCGAACCAGCAGTGCAAGCGGACAGATGTTTCCGGGGGGGGGGGGCGTCCAAGGGAGATTAAATGTCGTCGTACCGCCGGGTCAGCTGGATTTCAAAACAGGTCAGATTTCCCTCAGCCAAGCAGGGTTGCTGAGTTAGCATTCTGTGACATCCATCCTCGGCTTTATTGAGTTTTCCAAGCAATTTGGGGGTCCTGCCCCTCCTGAGGGAGCCTCTCTACCTCCTCCTCCTCCTCCTCCCGCAACACCCTGAGATCAGCTTAAATCTCATCTTATATTGCATTTTTCTGCTGACGCGGTCAGGATTGTGTTTGCATCCCTGGTTTTTTTGCTGCCTCTGAAACCCAGTGCCCTGGGTGGGGTCTGGGACAGGAGGAGAGGCATCGCGCTCTCCAGGATCAAACCATCATGTTAAGGCCTCACTTTGCAGAAAAAGTATTTTCAGTTGTGTTTGGAGTGGAGGAAGGGAAGGTCCTTTGGGGCTGTGGGATGCTAAGAGGCTCCCCAAAGAATCCTTAAAAATGAGAAGAGGTACGTGGCCAGCCTGTGTTTGTGTTGGTGGTGCGACTGCTGGGGTGAGCCGACCGTGGGGCCAGGCTTCCAGCTGGGCCATCTGTGCTGCCCGCCCTGCCCGTCCCTCGTGGGGCACCAGGGCTTCCGGGAGGCGCCTGCCAGAGCAGGCCGAGGCCTTCAGCCGATGCCTTTCAACCTGGCTTCGCCTGGGCTCGCCCTTCCCCGCCTGGGTTAGCGGCCCCGGCTATTCAATTCATCAAGGGAGTGACAGCTAAAATTCATTTGAAGATGAAGAAAATGCAGCCTAATCCTTTCTGGGAGACATTGATAGACTAGCGGCCGGGGAAGAATTGCACAGCAGTAATGAAATTAGGCTAAAACTACTGGTGGATAACAGATAATTGCCCTTGTCTGTCATCAGGAATAACATCTCCCCAAATGCAGCCGCACGAGGATGGGGGACGTTGAAGGCAGGGCATTGATTGCTCCGATTCCCCTTCCGCCTCCTCCAGGAAGGCAGGGACTCCCTCTCCACCCTCCCTGGGTGCCTCAGGATTATCCGTGGGCTCCTTTCCTGACACCTGGCTGATCTCCCCCAAAAGAGGAACCGAGATGGATCAGGGGGACCGAGGAGGGGAGAGGCTCCCGGCCCCAAAGTCTGGAGGAAGAGGTGGCTGCTCGCTCGGGCTCTGTCCTGCTGGGAGAAGCAAGTGGTCCTGGCTGCCAGCCCTGGTCTCCTGGCCGGGGATGATGGGCTGGGAAAGCCAAACTCTCCTCCTAAGAAAAGGAATCTCTTTCTACGCCTGTGCTGGGATCCTTCAGCCGGGATCTGGCAGCAAATCCAGCAGTTCTGGGGATCAGGTTCTCCTGGAAGTGGAATGACTCTGAGGCCGCCATCCAGGGCCAGCTTGACCCTCCAAACATTCATAAATCCACAAATTGTCCCGCAGTCCTCGGGGTCTCCAGCAGCCGCAGTGGTGACTCCCAGGCTTGGAGTGACCAGCAGCCATTTGCTGGGTGATTTATCGCGAGAGGCAGAGAGGCTGGTGAGGGAGCACACAGGCCGGCCCAGCCGCAGGAATGGTTTATGTGCCCCGGCCAGCGGCTGTAATTTACTGCAGACGGTGGAGGAATATTTCACTTCCTGTCGTGCGGATGAAGATTACTTGTGTTTGAAATCGCCCGAGTACACAGTGGATTCCACTTAAGCGGTTCCACTCGGCTGAGCTGGGATAATGCCCCTCTCCTGCCTGGCTCAGCAGCGGGTGAGCTGAGAAGGAGCCCTCCGGCTGCTTTTGGTGCCCATGCGAACCGGCCCCTTGTGAGAACTGGCATGGTGGGGGGGGGGGTAGCTCTGAGGTTGCAGCAGAAGGCAGCCTGGCGGCCTCTCAACCCCAGCTGATGGCGGAAGAGAACCTCCAGCCTCAGAGGCAGCCGCCTGAATTCCAGGTGAAAGTCCGTACCTCCTTATGGGGAGGGAAGGAAGGAGGGAGGGAGGGTTTACCCCTGCTTATATCTTTCCTCAGACCTGTAAAGGACCCCGAAAGGGAGAGAGCCCTTCATGGCTGGCACGGCCTATCTGGCCTCCTTCCTGGGACGCACAAGCCCTGCGTCTATTTGGCATACCTCTGTGTGGTCTTACTGCTCGCCTTGCTGCAGGTGGTGTAGCTAAATTGAAAATTGGAATTGATTTCCTGAGGACTCCCCTCTTGTTTTCCCTAAGTGCAATGGGGTAGGTTCCTGGCCCTACAGCCAGCCCGCAAGGAGGCTCGGGTAACAGTTTTCCCCCCTGCGAACTCAGCGGGCAGGATGGGGAGTGAGGTTGGCTCTGCTTTCCCAGAGCTTTCCTTTCTGGACACCAAGAGGTCAAAGGTCGGGAGAGGCCGGGAGAGCCTTGCGCCTCCTCCTCCCCCCCCCAACAGCCTCTGAAAGCTCTGGGATGGGCTGTGCCTTGGCAACTTTGCTGGGGCCAGCGTCCTGCTACCAGGAGCCCTTCATACCAGCTGGCCCTTCAGCTCTTCCCTTCGGCCGCAGACGTGAGAAAGCCCAGCTCCCTCCCTCCCTCCCTCCCTCCCTCCCTCCTGTGTTGGAAGGAGAGCCGCATCCACAAGCAGTTTAGCCCAGGAAACGGGCCAATTGTCCAGGCTTCAGCGCAGCCTCCTCCAGCAGCAAAGGTTTCCGGATGGATAATCCATGGCAGGCACCTTCCTTCCCGAGCTCTCTGCCTGCGCCTGTCCAGATGTCGGCAAAGTACTCGGTTGCCACCTAGCATCTGAAAAGGGGCACTGGGTGACCCCCCTGGCTTGGGCGGGGAGGGCTGGTTGCGGCTGATTCAGACCATCTGGCTCCCTCGTCTCAAAATCGGGGGCTGAGGCTGAGCCATGCGGGAGGTGGGGGGAAGGCAATGGTGGCCCTGTCCAGCCCTGTGGCTGTGAGCCTCGAGGGAGGCCAGGAGGGGCAGCCCAGCCGGTGTGTGCTCTGCGAGATAAGGAGGCCTTGTCTGTCTGTGAGCCTGACACGTCGCTGCTTCTCCAGACAAATGAGCAGCCTGGTGCCACCACCATGGAGCAGGTCCTCGCAAAGCCAACTGATTGGATTCTTCACCCGCCCGTTTGCTTTCGGCTGCATAAGCCGAGCCGATTAGCCAGCAGCTGCATTGTGAGGGTCCTTGAGTCGCTCGCCAGGAGGCCTGGCCCAAGCCCAGCCAGTTGCTGAGCCCTGGCTGGGACACTCCCCCCCCAGCCCCCCTTACAAGGTCTGCAGGAGTCTCTTCCCTCTCAAGCAACTGAAGGACTGCCAAGTGGCCCCCGTGGATGCTCCCAGACGGGGACGGGTGGCTCTGGGACCACAGAGGAGACTGCTTTGGACCTGCTTCTGGTTGGGACTCTGGCCAACTGGTTTGAAAAAGGGGGCAGGAGAGTATAGCCCCCCTCCCATCCTGGCACTGAAAGGAACCTCTTGAGGTGGAAGCTGCCTCTGGGCTTGGGGCTGTTGACAGACTGTTTCCCCCTTAGCTTGTATCTCCTCCGATCACGGATAATCAGGGAGGTCCCCCTATCCTGGCATCCGATTCCTTCATCTTCGGCTTGGAGTGTGCAGGTAGATTGCCTCTGAGCAGGGAGGCTCCATCTAGCTCTTTTGGAACAGGCTCCTGTGGAGGAAGAAAAGAGCAAGTTCTCCACCTGCTTGGAGCCTCCCGCAGCCTCCTTCCCCGGCTGGGCTGTTTCTGTGGCGCTTTCTTTGACACCCATCCCTGATTTTTATGGCAGCTGATTGCATAATGGAAAACTCCTGTTAACACTCCACCAAACGGCAAACAGGAGCGAACATCATGAAGTAGCTGACAACCAGCGCAGAGGAGGTGTGAAATATAATGCCCCTAATGTTGCAATTAGACAAGGACAACTCTTTTCTGTCTCTTTCATCCCGTGCCTTTTTTTAATTAGCAGGAATAATAACATCCAGGCACGAAAGCGGAGGGGAGCTGCTGGGGGGGGGGCAAATTGAAAGGGAAGCAGCCTCAAGACTGGGTGGTGAAAGACCCCCCCCAGCTGTTCCGGGGGGCCCTTGAGGCAGAGAGGGCACGATGGGTAGTGCCACCGTCTTCGCCAGGGGCAGGAGAGGAGGAGGAGGAGGAGAACAGCAATCCTGCAAAAAGGTAAAAAGCCTCACTTGAACAAGCTGTTCTCTTTTTTAAAAACCCCACCCTTCCTGTTGCTGTCTTTTCCAGGAAGAGCCACTTGGCTGCAGAGGAGGGAGAGAGCCAGGCTGTTCCCAGGTTTGCTCCCCCGCCCCGCCACACATACACAAGGAGAATTCGGGCCCTTCCTCAGCCTGCCTGGAGCTCAGTCAGATGCTGGAGGTGGCAGCTCTGCCCTTGACTGCTGCCCTTCTCTACCAGGGGACACACAAGGTGCAGTTGCTCTGAAGCACCCATGTTCAAGGGAAGGAGGCGGCTGTTGGCGTGTTCAGAAGTGGTTTCTCTGGATGAAGGCAAGAGTGGAGGTTGAAGGGGGCAACTCTTCTGGATGCCAAAGGAGCTGAAAAGGCCTGAGAAGACAGCCATGTGTTGCCTGCCTGCCGATGCCCACTGAGCCAGCGGGCATCGCCTGGGAAAGCCGTCGAGGGCTAAACATGAGAAGGTGGATCTAACCCAGGGCCAGATCCGAGGGGGGGGGGAGTGTCCTGAGGGTCGCATTTTGGCCATGCGAGATGTCAGAGCCAAGGGCCACTCCTGGGGGTGAGCTGCTTTTGAGTCGGGTGTGTGTGCAAAAGAAGAGGTGGCAATATGAGTTTCTAAGGCCCAAGACCCTTTATGACTGAAGCCCTCAACCAAATGGCTGCCTGCACCTCTTAAGCATCTGGCAGCTTATTGCGCCCTTAAAGAGAGGACCAAAACACAAGAATGAAAACTCCGATGGAGGCAATGAAATCGTGCAAAGCCAGAGCAACTTAGTCATATGCTGCTTAAATAGATAAGCGGGACTTAAGTTACCTTTTTAGATAAAAGGACGATCAATTTACATGAGTATCGGCTAGAACTGGGCTCGACTGATCAGCCCTAAGTGGATGCATAGGAAAATGGAAAGCAGGAGAGAAAAGGGGATGGGAACTGAGGAGTGCAGAGATGGAAGGTGAGCGTGGAACAGGAGGGCGGAAGAGAAGCGGAAGTTACAAGGAGGAATTTAAGCACAAGTCGCGTGAAACTGGCTTGAATCTCTTGTGTGCAAACTTAAACGTTGAGTGTTCAAAACATCCCTTTCAATGCTCTGGAGTCCTGGGGCCCTGGGGAAGGGTCACTCTCCCCCCCCCCCCCCCCCCAGGCAGCCTCATTAGGACTTGAACAAAAGTGCCCCCCAGGCTTTCCTCGGGGTTATTGGTGTTCAGCTACAAAAGTCCTCCCATCAGCAAGATTGTGAGTCTGGGAGGGGGCTTTTAAAAGGAGGAAGGGGAGCTGGAAAGAGACCAGCCAAAGGTTGGTTCTTAATTTTAAAAAACTCAGAAAGCATCAGTCGACTTTTTCCAAATCATTACAAAAAACCTCGGGAGCAGGAACAAGTGTTTGGGTCCTTATTTAGTTGGCTTAATTGGCCATTCTGCTTGATGTCAAGGGCTTTGGGGGGGGGAGGGGGTACCTCAAGAGGACCCGGCTGCCTCTCACCTTCCTTGAAAGTCTTGGCCTGGGCTTCTGCAGGAGTCACCAACCAGATGTCCGTCAGCCCTTCTGGCGAGGCTGGGGACAATGGGAGCGGTAGTCCTTTCAGCCATTTGCAAGGGAGGGCTCTGCTATTAGCTTGCATTGGCAGCCCCTCCCTTCTGAAGCTCCGAGGGGGCTCTCTTGGCTGCCGCTCCAGAGTTGCTTTCAAAGCCCACCTCCAGCTTAGAGCCCCAGGAGTTAATGGGCCTCTTTGCACCTTTCTGAGTTATTGAGTGTGCTGTTTTGATGCGCTTTCCTGTTAATTGGCCTTTATTAATGGAAGGTGACCTCTTCCCATTTGGGTCACCTGCCTCTTGTGCCACAATCTGCCCCTGGCTTGCTTGCTAGGCTTCCTGCCACAGAGAGTGCCAGGTGTGTGTGTGTGTGTGTGCCAAAGGGGCGGTTGAGATTTGGCTGTGGAGAGGAACCATTTTTGTACCAACCCACACCCAACTCTTGGCCTCTCTTTGCATTTTAAGGGAATCCTCTGGTTAGCACAGATACCTGCAAATATGGGCCCATTTTCTAAATGTTGCTGTAAAACGGTTGACTCGGAGCGGGAAGGTGCCCCCAAAACCCAGAAATTGTGAAGGAGACAACAGGGTGGCCCTACACAGAGAGAGAGAGATTATTTTACCTGGCATCTGGAGGAAATGAGGCAAAATTTCCCTTTTTCTCCTAAGGCAGGGGTCTCCAAACGTGGCAGCTGGTCATCTTCCCAATTTTGCATGAGTGAATCGAGCTGTTTCCTTGCTTCTTACTTGTGCCCGTGAGGTGCAGTGGGTAGAGCAGCTTGCTTGGCACGCGCGCACACACACACACACACACACACACACACACACACACTTCCCCCTGGAGGATTTTCTGTGCCGGGTTGGAGGGGCAGCGAGGGGGTTCTGGTTCCAGGCCTGGTTGCAGCTCACCAAGCCAAGGCCTCCTCCGTCTGGGTCTGCCCCCTCCTGGATTGGGGCCATGTGCCTTGAATTGCAATGGCAGTAAATAAATCCCATTAAGGGGGACGTTTCCTCCCGCACACACTCATTACCATGTGCCAGAACTCCTGGGCTCCTGGGATCGCGACTCTAATGAGGCCAGGATGTATGTGTAGCTGGGAAATTAATGCTTATGCAGGTTAATTTGTTTTTATTAAGTACATCACATGAGCAGCAGGGCTGCCTCCGAGGAAGGGGAGATGCCACTCAGCGCACCGGGGGTTGGAGGGGAGGTGGGCAGGGTCCTAGGGAGGCTTGGCAATTGACTGCCCACCACTCAGCTCCAGAGCCCCCTTTGCTCGGTTCCCTTAACTCCTCTCTTCTCTCCCCAAGGGATGCTTGGCCCTTTCCTCAAAGAGCGGAGGAGCCTGGCCGCATCTCTGGCCTCACCTGCCCTGCCCTGAACCCCCCCCATCAGATTCATCTCACCTGGATGCTCCCCAGGTGAGGGAGGTCTGTTTTGTGCCCTGGTGGCAGTGGACAGCCTCCGGTTGGGGGGTAGGGGTGGGGCTTATGAAATTGATGGTCGGCTGATAGGAAGGATGCTTTTGGTTTTCGTGCCAGGTGATGGGTTGTCCTGAGCTTCTCTGTCCAGCAGGTGAGAAGCAGGAGAGCAGTTGAGGGCAACCTAACCTGTGGCTTCCTTGAGGCTGCCAATACCGGCCCAGTCTCTGTGTCAGGATCTGGCCCACTGAGCTCAGTGTTGCAATGGGCCGGCAAGGCTCCCACAGAGCCCCTTCCAGCTTCTCCTGGGGGGGGGGGATGGAAGGCAACATCTGCACCAACCAGCTTTGATCCAGCCCCCCAACCCCAACCTCCCTCTTGCCCCTCCCCTCCCCCAGTGGGCTGAGCTGTCAGATTAATCCTACTCCGGTCTCCCTCACCTGTGATTTCATTAAGGGAGAGGCGGAAAGGAAGAGAAACAATTCCAAGAAGATAATTAAAAAAAACCCTCCAATTAGCAATTGATCCTTCTGGCCTGGCATCACATCCCCCTCGAGAAGCCCAGATTGGGCGGCCACCACCTTTGGGAGGGGCTGGAAGATGCCGAGAGAAGGGGGAGGCAGGTGCCTGACTGTCTCCCAGGCCAGGCTCCCTCAACTGCAGCGCCAGGCCCTCCATTCCCTTTGATTAAATGGCCTTTATTGGAGGAGGAGGAGGGTCTGGACACCTGCTGCCTGAGAGCCATTGCCACCCACCTCCCACCCTCGAGCAGCTGGCAGGAGGGGGAGGGGGAGGCCCTCTGGGGCTGGGGCACAAAACTTTCTTGCCACTGGAAAGTTTGCAGAATCTCCCTCCCTCCCTCTCTGACTGGCAGGCAAGCGGACCTCCTGACCTGTAGTGGCCATGTCTGTCCCTTGGGCCAAGGATGATTGCCCCCCCACGCCCCCCACCCCCAAAAAAGACCCAGCTAATGCCCAGAGGGGGAACCCCAGCAGAAGAGACGTGAGGAAGAGGCGAAGGCAGCTAGACAAAGGTTCTCTCTGCTTGGAGTTCGTTCTCTCAGCCAGGGTGAGTGGGTGGTTCTTTGGGGGGCTTGGATGCTCCATCCCCTTCAAGAATTCGTAGGCAGAAGCCCCCAGTTGCTGGCCCTCCCTTCTAAGACTAACTGCTGGGCATCAACTGGCAGAGCTGGCTGACTCTAAACTGCCCTGGCACCTCACTTGGGGCCATGCGCCATGCTGGTGGGAAGCCCTGGGACTTCTAGCTCAGCCGCAGCTCGAGCGCCCGAGTTCCCCACCGGTGAGCCCGAAATCCCTTTAACCGCAGGGCTGTCCTTGGTTCCATCCGGGAAGGCAAAGCAGAAGAGAAAGGAAGACGGGTGAAAACGATATTTTTGTCCTTGCCAACTTCAGCTTTGCTTTGGCTCTCCCGCCTTCTCCTCCTTTGCATTGTTCTTCTCCTCCACCGAGGGAGATTCGGCATCCTCCTTTTTCCCACTGAAAAGGCTAAATGATATACTGACACCTTAATTACACCCCATTGTCACAATGTAGCTTGGAAATTGCATTACTGATATGAGAAGAAAAGGCTCTGGCGTGTGCGTGTCAGAGCGTTTGATTCACGGTGGCAGGTGGGGAATGACACAAATAGGAGCTTAGAGGAGTCACACCCTGCTTTGTCGGCAAAAAGCGAAACGGGGGGGGGGGTCGGAAGCAGCTAGTGGTGCGGTGGGGCCGGAGGGCCAGAAAGAATGGGGCAGGCCTGGAGATGCTTCTCGCATGCAGGCCAGCGCAGCTCCCAAAGCAGTTTTTGTGTCTTTTCTGATGTGCCTTTTTGGATGCTCAGCCACAGATCAGGTTCTCTGGATTTCAGTCTGAAGGGTCTGACATAAAAGGAAGAAGTGATGGGAAGGGAAGAGGAAAACTCCAGCATCGGCTCTTAAAGGGGCTCCGCTGGTCTTGCAAGGAAACCGGTTTGGTGGAGCTGACGTGACTTCAACTCTCCTCACAGCCAGCGGGGAGAATTGTGAGGGAGAAATGGACGGACCTGGGACAACAGCTGCATCCAAGGCGTGTTTTTGGGGCAGGTGGCTCTCGGCTGAGTCTTGCGTGTAAATTCCCATTGTTGTGGCTTATGAATCATGGCTTAGCGTGAACATTGAACCTCACTGACTAGGATTTATCAAACAGAAAATGATTTCTATCCTGTCGGCATATGACCTCTCGGAAAATATTACTAAATGCGTTTTAAAAATGCTGCTTGTGAGATGGGGAAAAAAAGCTCTGGAAATAAATATTTAAATGAGGCTATTTAGGCAGGCTTTTCTAAAAATGTTCTAGTTAAAACGGCCAGCTGATGAAATGCTTCCAAGCAGAATGAAGGGTCTTCCGTGATGGCGCCTGCAACTTCCTGATCTCAGATAACGGAGCTCTCCTCTCCACGGGTCTCTTTTGGAACCGGTTGGAGGGAAAAGAGTGCCTTGGGGGGGGGAGTCTCCTGCCTGCCCTCCAGATCTGAGGAAGGGACACGGAGCCTTTGGAGGTGCGCAAAGCCAAGCCCGGTGTCTTGGCTGAAGGGTTGTCCTTGAAGGTTAATTGGCTGTTAACATTTCATTGATTCGGGGCCTGGCCTGGCTCTGGCTGCAGATGGTTGTGGGGAGGGGGGGAGGAGAGGCTGCCAAGAGAGCAGTGCAGAGGGGCTCACAAGTATCCCCCCCCTTTGTAATGCAGACCTTCAGCGCAGGCATTCTGGGTTGCCCACAGGTTGCCCCAGTGCCATTGGTGGAATTCTTTTACTTCGGCCGAGGATTTCGAAGGGAAAAGGCCAGATCCGCTTGAGGGAGAGAAAGAAAGGGGTCTGGACGGGGGTGGGGGTGGGGGGAGGGAGGGAGAGGTTGGTGCTCCTGAGCTCTTCCCCCAACTCTTCTTTTCCAGAGAAGGTGGCATCTCCGGCTGGGGCTGCTCTGCCTGCCTTCAGCTCAGAGACCTTTTCCCGCCCCCAGTAAATCTTTCCTGGGTATTTATTGTAATGGATCCGCACGAGAATCCATGCATCATCTCTGCCTCCGGGCGCACTCCATTACCCTGACAAACCTGCGGCATTTAGCACCGGCCACGCTGCTGCTCCGGAGAGGAACCGCCGCTGAAGCCCTGCTGGGTTCTTGCCACCAAGCTGAGCAGGAGCAGGGAAACGGAGGCGGCCAGAGGGAGGGAGGGGGGCAGGCGGGAGGCAGACCCTCACGGGGCAGGATCTGAAGCCCTCCCGACCTCAGGATGCCTGGCCCAGGAGTTGGAGGGCTGGGGAAGAAGGAAGGAGGCCGAAAGAGAGGTTGGTGGTCGGAGAAGCCAGTCCGTCAAGCAGCTCCAGTAACGATTTAATTAACAAAGCAAGGAAGGAGGGAAGAGCTTTCAGCAAAGCCAGCAGCCTCTTTGGGGGCTCATCAAAGCTGGCAAAACCACTTTCGTGATGTCAGGAAGAGCAACGGGAGTCACATCTGCTGCCTGCTGAAGAGCCGGACTGAACCCGGAGCCACTGATAAGAGCAGCACCTGCTTATTAATGGAGACATCCAGGGAGCTGCTCAAGAGAGGGGGCCGCAGCAGGAAAGCCAGCAGTTCTGAGATGCAGCCCTTCGGAGAGGGTCCTTGGAGGCACTGCTGGGCTGGGGGGGCACATCATGGAGACCACCCACCACGCTGCCCCATGCAAGAGAGGGCCGTGCCAAGGCCCCAGGTGTGCCCTTCTCTTGGTCTTTGAGCTGCATCCCATCACCCAAGGGCCCACCAAGGTCTGAGCCGGTCCCTCCTGATGCCTGCCTTCCCCTTGGGGCATCCGTGGGGAAGCCCCTCTCTCTGTGCCTGCCTCCCCTCTTCCTGTCCCCCCTAGGGAGCGAAGTCCGGGGGGGGGGAAGATGGATGGAGAGGAGGAGGCACTATTTGCGTGTGGAGGTGGGATGCTTGCTTGCCCACCAAATGTGGGAACAGCCTTCCAGAGATAGTGTCATAAATCACGCCGACACCTTCTCTTTGCAGGACTGGGGACGGTTGACAGTGGCTATTCATCTGAATGTCACTGGCAGTAAACTAGGTAGGGGGGCCACAACACAAATAAGCCACAGGGAGGAGGGAGCTTCCCAACACTGAGACCCAAAACGTCTCCTCCCTGGAGGCCTGAATATCAGGACGGAAAAGGTGAAAGTGAGCCACCAGGAAAGGCTGGGATCACTTTTTCACCCTCGGGTGAAAGTTTAACGCTGGGGATATTGAAATGCCCAAGAAGAAGGAAGGGCAGAAATCAGCAGGAATCCCAAGCCCCCTCCCCCCATTCGGGGTTGCAAGGAGGACAGGCTGGTGGAAGAAACTGGGTGGGTAAGAGGCCATTTCCCCCAACTCGGCAGCAGGAGCTGCGGACTGGAGGCTGAGTAGTGACCGAACTCAGCAATCGTTGCAAAACCCCATTGCTTCAGAGGAAATGAATTCCTTCTCTGGGGGGCTTTGGGTGGTTAAAAAGCCGAGAGCAGGTGTGGGGCGAGGAGTCTCCTTTGCAGAGCTCGGCCGCTTCAGAAGCAAACAGAAGACGAGGAGAATGGAGGTGGGGACTGATAGAAGAGGACCTCCAAAGCTCAGGATGGAGCTGTGGGGTCTTTGGTGCACTTTGAGCTGGGTGGTTTCCTTGCAGACATTTCATGACCCGGCTAGGTAACCTCATCAGTGCCACTGGATGTGGGAGGCCTGATTCAAGCCTTCTCCAGCTACTTCATTCAACCTACAGCCATTCTGGTTTTTTGGCTCACTCCGATGAAAAGACGGGAGTTTCAGGGAAATTTGCAGATTCAGGAGAACAGGACCATGGAGAGCTCCTAAATGAACTTCTGAATCCTCCAGCCGGAGTAGGAGCCCATTTTTTCGAAGGACAGCCGTTCGAGCTCAGCCGGGGTGGGTGACTTTCCCATTGCTGAGAGCCGAGTCTGAAGTTGGACTTTGTTTTCGTTGTCGTCTTTTCTATTTTGGATAGTCAAGTGGCATTAATCCGGGAGAACTTCAACTTTCACACTAGGGATGGGACGCTTCCTTCATCTTTGTCCCTCCGAAGTCACAGCTTTTCTTCCTGGCTGTTGAGGGGTCCAATGGGAGCTGCTTCTCAGAATGGAACAAGGCAGGATTACCTTGTGGTGATGTTTCCAACAGATAAAGGATGGTCTGTTCCTCAGGTTGGAGAGTTGTAGATAGATAAGTATCAGCACATAGCTTCAAGCAAGGGGTGGGGTGTGAGTGTGTCTGTGTGTGAACTCCCACTCCCCATCTGAGATGGAAAGCCTTAAATGTTATTATGAAGAGTTCCCCCAGAATCGGCACCACTTTCCCTTCAGGCTCTGTTTGCAAATATTGGTTATTAAATTGATTTTTGCCATGGTGCTTCCATGCTCAATGAACATTAAAATTAAAGTTCTGCTTAGTTTCTCACTAGGTTAAGGGTGAGGGAGCCAGAGGCTGGTTGGGGGGGGCAGCAAGAGATGGGGGTCCCCCAAGAGCACAAATGCAAGTAGAGCTGTTCCTCAAAGCCGGCACGGGGCGGGGCGGGGGGATGGGCCCCCTTCTCTATAATGCTTCCCAGGTGAAAATCCTGTTGGGGTCCTTCCCAGGACCACCCAGCATGGGCCAGCCCTGCAATTTGATGGGCTTGGTGGGCAGAAATGCTTGCAGGATCTCTGGCTCCTTCTCCAGGTGTTTTTGAGCCGAGGGCAGCTCTGCCCGGCGGCTGGATGGTTTGCTGAGCCTGCAGTAAGTTGCAAGGCGGAGAACTCCCCCAAAGTCTGAAAGCCCCCTCCCCCCCATCAGCCCCAGCAGGATTTGCAGAGACAGGTGATGGAATTGATTTTCCTCTCGTTTTACCTGCTCAATGAACATTTAAATTAAGGTTTGGCTGCCTCTCCTGGAGGGTGAGGGGGGGGCGTGGGTTGCTGTGGACTTGGAAGCAGAGGGGAAAAAAACTTTCCATGGCCCTTTGCGCTGGACTGTCCGCTGGAGATGGCCAAAGGATCCAGGAGGGGAGGGTCGTGTTTCTGGACTCAGTGGGTGCTGAAAGGAACAGGGACGGAGCTGGAGGACAGGCAGAAAACTAGGGGGCAGAAGAGCCCCTGTGGAAGAGAGTTTGCTTACTTGGTGTAGGGGATATTTCCGGGGTCTTCAAGGTGAGAGGAGAGAGAGGAGGCTCCAGGCTGAGCTTCTCCTGCCCTGAGAAAGCAACTGGGGGAGGGGGGTTTGTCTCTTTGGAGTAGGAGGACTCTGAGTGCCAGTTCTGAGCACCTGCTGGCCTCTTAACAGAAGTCAGGAATCAACAAGGAGTTATCCATCCACTTGGGTGCAGACAGGAGCGCCTGGCTCCCTCTCCCCCCCCCCCCATGGTCTTTCTCACATACAAACCCCAGTCTCTTCCGCGATACTGCCAGAGAGCTATTCATGCTGCACTGGTTCTTTTTATTGGTTTTCATCACTTTTGACATTGCCAACCGTGGACCTTGAAGTAAATTTTCAGAAGCGACTGTGTGGGGCGAGGAAGCGACGTGCCGTCATTTTTCTAAATTAGGGAAGATTTCCAGCCTGAGAAGAGGAAGGTGGCACTGACTTGTGCGGAGGGGGGAGGACCAGAGATGGGCCAGAAGGATCCTCCCCACCTTACCTGCCCGGGAGGGCAG